GAGGGAGGGAGGGAGGGAGGGAGGGAGGGAGGCTTTCTGACAGCCTCCCGCTAGCAAAGTCAATGGGGAGGCCGGCAGCAAGTCGCAAGTCGCTCACACTCCCACTGCTTTTTTGCCCTTGGTCATTCTGTTTCTCTGTTGAGGTAAGGAAATATCTCTGAAACGATGACAAGGGATTGCGGATCATCTAGTACAGTGGTACCTCGGTTCACGAACTTAATTCATTCCGCGACCCTGGTCGTGACCCGAATCAAATTTCCCCCTAAGGTTCAGTGTAAATACGGTTAATCCGTTCTGAACCATATGTATTTTTTTTTTAAACCGCAAAAATATGAAACAAAATACAGCACAAAGAGAGAGAACGCTAACCTTGCTCGAGGCGACTTCTGGCGTGGAGGACAGGAAGGCGGGTGGGGAGGCGGTTATTGCTCGGAGGGGGAGTCCCCCTCCCTACAGGAAGCCACAACCACATGTCACAGCAGGGAAAATGGCCGCGGGTCGTGTTCGTCACCCGATGCGGAGTTCGCAAACGGAGGCAACATTTTGTGAACGGTGCTGGTCGTGAACCGAATTGTTCTTGAACAGAAGCATTTGTGAACCAAGGTACCACTGTATATAGTAAAATGTATCACTTGTCTAAATATAATAAAAGCAGATATCTCACTGGAAAGAATCTATATAAAGATCTTACATCTTATATAAAGAATCTATATAAAGATCTTATGTCTTACTGACCATTGACATTTTGGAAGATGTTATTTATGGATGTGTTTGGTTTTTATTCTCTTTTTACTGTATTTTATATTGTTTTGTTGTATTTTAATATTTATTGCTGTTTTACAGTGAACCACCCAGAGTCACTTTTTGTGAGATGGGCGGTATCTAAATTTGAAATATAAATAAATAAATAAAAAGTATTGTCTAAATCTAATGAAAGCATGCTGGGAAATTCTGGGAGTTGAAGTCCACATGTCTTAAAGTTGCTGAGTTTGAGAAACGCTGGTCCAGTTAAACCATTTGGAGAAGGGCTGAACTAGTTTTATATTGTATGAATTTCTCTTTTTTAGTTTCCCTCCCCCTCTTACCTCTTAGTTTATTTTAATCACTATAATATATAATTCCTTCATTGTGTCATTACTGTGGTGTTATTGTTTTTTGCCTTTGTTATATTTCCTTAATAATATTTTTTAAAACTTTATTGTTAAAAATATAAAAAGACACTTGTAGACAATCTCCAGGAGCTTTCTTGCTGCGAAAGACTACGTTTCCCAGGAGCCCTTGCGAGGAACAGAGGCACCTTACACTGGAGGCTTTTTTCCTTTCCTTTCCTTTCCTTTCCTTTCCTTTTCTTTTCTTTTCTTTTCTTTTCTTTTCTTCTCTTTTCTTTTTTTTGCAAGTGCGACCTGAGCAAAGGAGGGGCTTCAAAGAAAAAGAAAAATGACATAGCGACGAAGGGAGGGGGTGCAAGAAGAAAAGCGATTCACCTTTACACGCTGCCCGCCCCCGTCAGTGGGGGCTTTGCCACAGTCTTAACCAGGACGAAAAAAACCCCGCTGAAGTGCCAGTCGTAAAATTGGGAAGCGCATTTTAAACGACTGTGTGAATATTTGGGACTCACCCCTTCCTGCTCAGACCCCTCCCACGGAAACAGCTGTATTTATTTAATGTTACTCGCTGGAGCAAGTTCCACCTCCTTGGAGTTGAAGATTCCTCATTTTCAGGGGTCTCTTGGAGGAATCGGGTGAGTGATAAACCTCCCGGAAAGAACCGCCTTTGATTTCAATGGGATTTAGTCTCCGGGAAGCCCACGAGGGCTGGCAGCCTGAAGCTGCAATCCAGGCAGGCGGATTTCCTCGCAGCCCAAAGGTGGAGGGGTTGCGTCACAGAGCTGCAACCCTGAGCCTTGTGGGGGGGGGGAAGCGTCCACGGAGCGTGCTGGGCTAGGAGGGGGAGACCCAAGTCTGGTTCCCTCTCAGCCACGGAAGCTGCCTGGGGGCCTCTGGGCCGGTCCCTCCCTCCCTCTCAGCCCCAGAGCCGGGGAGGGAGTGGGGAGACCCAGTTCTAGTCCCCCCTCAGCCACGGAAGTTCCCTGGGGGGATCTGAACCAGTCCCTCCCTCCTAGCTTGGCCTAATTTATAGGGGTGTTGTAGGTTGGGGCGTGTTCTCTGCCACCTTGAGCTTCTAAAGAAAAATAAGGAAGTAAGCCCGTCTTCTGGGTTCAGCCCATACTTTGCATGAGATGCCAAGCACAGAAGACTTGTCAAGGTTAAGATGTTATGCAAATACAGCTGCTTCGGCCTAGACCCGTGCTGGTGAGCTGTTTCACTACAACCCCTATTTTTTACATCTGAATAACTGCACGTAGTGTATGTAATTGGAGCTCTAGAAACACCAACATTGTCTGCAGAAATTGGGGAGAAAAACGTTTTCCTACTATCAGCTCAGAATTTATCTCCATCCAGTTTAAATACCATTCAAGTTCCCTAAGGGTGGCAGCTATTTCCCATCCTTCAGGTGTCACCTAATGAAGCTGTGAGTTCAAATCCTACTTTTTGCACCTTTCAATATTGCATTTTTTTAAAAGCCCAGCATTCTATACAGGCTTATGATGGCAATTGGGACTGGAATTGCTGTTGCTAAGTGATGCAACATCATGTGACCGCACTGCTTAGCAATAGCAATTCTGGCAGTCCCAACTGCCATTGTTAAGCGAGGACCACATGATTGCAACTTCCTGCTTGCTTCCCCATTGACTTTGCTTGTGGGAAGCTGGCAGGGAACGTTGGAAATCATGATCACGTGACTGTAGGATGCTGCAATGGTTAGAACTCCAAGGATTAGTTGTAAGTACCACTCGTTCGGCGCCCTCGTAACTTTGAACGGTCGCTGAACAAATGGTCGTAAGCCAAGGACTACCTATATATGTTTTGCCTGCAGAAATTCCCCACGCAAACCTTGGCAGGGCCCATTGTTTTCAAATAATGGGGCACGGCTTCTGGAATGCATTCTCATTCTTCCACCAGTGATTGGGAGGGGGCTTAGAATGGAGCAATCGGTAGCCTTCCGAGCCACTGTCCCACCAACTCTCCCATAAGGATGCACTGGATTTTTGGGGGGGGGTTGTCTCTGCAACCCCAGGCCAGAGCTATTTTTGAACTCAAACTTTGTTTCACTGGCTTCTCCTGCTGTACCAAATCTGATCCCATTCCATTCACAGTTTCCAGAGAGTTATCCTCCTGGTGGACAGGATAGAGGAGCCCTGATCCCCTTTATATAGATTCTTTCCAACATTGTTTGGGGCTGGGAAGAATTGCATTGAAAAGTAGGGGGTGGAAAATACCTTTTGTCTGACTGTGTGAAATCCTGGGGAATTCTTCTCTAAGGAGGGAATGCTAGCCCAATTTTATTTTTTTATTTTTTTATTTTTTCTTCCTAAATGCTTCTGTACTGCAGGAGCTGGCCCCCTGTTTCTCTCTTGTGGGAAGGACAGAAGAGTGACTTGAGAGTTGGAGGCTGTTAGAAGTGTTATATATCTGTTGGGAAACTGAGGCACTGGTCTCTTGTCCTCATAGGACCCCAGAGAGGCATTTGCAACCATCTGCAGGTTTCCCAGACAGGGAAGATCTTGTCTTGGTGGAGAGATCAGGGTGCCACAAAGCTGATGGCGGACAGAGAGGTGCCCAGGACGGGATTCAGCCTGCAGTTGCAAGCTGCTTTGGAGAAATGGATGCAGCCAGGATTCAAAAGACAGGATCCGGGACGAGTGGTCTCCAAAGCAGGCGAGGAATTGGGAGAAGACAGAAAAGCCTATAGAGGGATTGAGGGAATGGAGCAACTGGTGAAACAGGAGCCAGACCTGCTCTCTCAGCAGTGGGAAGCCCAGTGGCAGGACTTCTTGAAGATGGCTGAATCCCAGCAGCCCTGGGGGGTTGTGTCACTGGCCCAGGAGGAGCCCTCGCCATGGGATGATGCCAAGGCCTTCCTGGCCTCCTTTGAGCGGGTAGCCGAGGCCTGCCAGTGGCCCAGGGAGGAGTGGGCCTCCCAGCTGCTGCCTGCCCTCCGAGGAGAAGCCGAGCAAGCTTATCGCGGGCTGGCAAGGCCGGACCGAGAGGATTATTGGAAAGTGAAGGCGGCCATCTTGCACAGGGATGCCCTGAGCCGGGAGAAGCAGCGCCAGCACTTCCGGCATTTCTGCTACCAGGAGGCCGAGGGCCCGCGGGGGGCCTACAGCCAGCTGCAGGCGCTTTGCCACCAGTGGCTGAAGGTTGAGCACCACTCCAAGGAGCAGATCCTGGAATTGCTGATCCTGGAGCAGTTCTTGGCCATCCTGCCTCCTGATATCCAGAGCTGGGTCCGAGGAAATAGCCCAGAGTCCTGCCCTCAGGCGGTGGCCCTGGCCGAGGATTTTCTGCAAATGCAAGAGGAAGCTCAACATCAGGAGCAGCAGGCAAGTTGGTGCGGGCAATGCAGGGGGCCACAAGGCTGACTCCCTGCTTTGCAGATTGAGCAAAGCAGGAGATGTGAGCCAACCTTTGGGACCGACAGCAATGCCATCAAAAGAATTCAGTGTCTGGCAGAATGCTGAGCCCAGAACCTGCAGTTACCTAACATGGTTTCAGGGTATGGTCCTGTCAGCCCTTTGAGGTAGTCCAGATGAGAAACCAAAACCATGAGTCTGAACACTATCTTTATTGTAAGGTTACAGTAGCAGAATCTTGCACGTCTAAAAACACATCTCTTCCCCCTTGCTTTTACTTTCCAGGGAACTAGGGAGGGTCCCTTCTGAAATGCTTCCCACGCCCCCTTTCCTTCTGTGGGCTGAGAAGTCTCTTATCTGACCATTGCCCTGGCTGCAGCTCTTCCTCCTCCTGTCTCTCAAGGATATTCCCACAGACCATTACAGGTTCTCAGGGAAGTATCTAGACTCAATATAGGTAATACCTGCTTGGGTGCCTGCTGTACCTCCCCCTGCTTCTTAGAATTCAGTGAATTAGGGAGGGGTCTGCCTGAGCTGCTTCTGAATGCTATCTTGTTCTGGACTTTAAAAATCCTTCAGCCCCTTTTGCCTAGGGAATGGTTCCTGCATATTTTCCTGACTCTTCCTGACTCTCTACAGGTAGGTTGGGTTGAGAGAGAGGGGCTGGCCCAAAGTCATCTAGTAAATTCCTGTGGCTGAGGGAAGACAGAACCTGGGTCTCCCCATTCCTAGTCCAGCACCTCCCCAACTACCCCATCCTGGCTGTCCAGTGGACATCACCTTGCAATGCTCCTCTTCCCTACCTCTTTCCTCTCCTTGTTGAAACAGATGTTTTCTCCTGTTTCCAGATATTCAAGGAAGTGAGGGATGCTGCAGAGGATTGTGGGAAGGGACAACTGTTCAGGGAGGCTAATCATGAGGGGAACATTGGAGATCCTGGTGAGTGATACAAGTGGATGAGTTGAAGCCAGTGCTCCAATTCCTTTGGGTGGATTTTTAACTCCGTCCCTTTCCCTCTTCAGCTCCCTCCCCATTACCATCCCTTAAGATGCCAAATAGCTCCAAAAGCTTTTGCTTAGATTTCTATTTTGGATTTTCTCATTTCGCCATAGGTGAAGCGGGTAGATGCAGTGACAAGATGGAGAAATATGCACTGGAGAATTCTGGGCCCGTAGCATCACATGAGACGCTCACTGGGAGAACAGAAGAGCAAGTGGCTCAATTTGGTGAGCAGGAAAACCTTTCCCAAAGTCAAGACAGACTAATTTGGCAGCAGAAATTTCTTCCCAAGGAGATGAGTGATAGTGCCGTTCCTTGTAGAGGAAGTTACCGGGAGCTCAGCCACCCCAAAATGCCCACTGGTAAGAAATACAGCACCTCCAGTGTTATTGCAAGGAGTTTCTACCATAAATCAAACTTCATTAAACAAAAGAAGATCCACACAGGAGAAAAAACATACAGCTGTTTGAATTGTGGGCGGAGATTCAGTCGTAGGTCAAATCTTAAGCGTCACGAAAGCATCCACACGGGGGAGAGACCCCACGAGTGCTTGGATTGTGGAAAAAAGTTCACTCGGAAGTCTTACCTCATTAAACATAGTACTGTTCATGCATATGGAGCATCAACGTAGGAAGAACAGCTGGCAGGAAAAGACGGGTGCATAGAAAGTCTGTACCGTGGATAAAGGAGTTGAAAACGATGGATTTGATTGTCATTCAGATCTTCATTATTCTCAGGGAACATATGTTGCGGCTGAGTTGGGAATCCCGGGGAATACTAGGACCACAGGGAAATGTTAATCTAGAAATACGTCATGTAAGAGGATTCCTCCAGAGCGCCATAAAGTGTGAGCAAATTTCTTTTGGGAGCGCGTAATACACAAGAGAGAGAGAGCTCACACGAACCATGAACAGATTCTATTCCATTCCCACCTCACTTCTTCTCGAGTCACAGGATGTCATCTTTTTGTTGCAACTTTGGGTAATAGCTTTGTTATTGCAAAGTTTTAATTTTGGGATATTTAATCTTTTAAAACTTGAGTGAAGCAATATATGCAGAAGCTTAAACCTGAAAGTTTACTTGGTGGGCTGAAGTGTTTCTGTATAACAGCAAGAAAATCTTAACTATAACTATGAGACAGTATACACTTGGAATTCCATCAGCATATAATTCCAGGAGTGACAGCTGGCAGATAGAGGGGAGAGGGAAGCTGTTCCATGGAGAACAGAAACATTCCAGCATCAATCTGCTGCATGATCCAAATTCACTCATATTAACCTGTGTGCACTAGTTACTTCCAAGATGATTTAGGGAGCAAAAGTTTGCCCCCAGAGCCATACGTTCACTTTTACAGTTCTTCCTTGGTTGCTTGGTCTATTTTATTCAATTGATAAGATCACCCCGCTCCTCAAGTGACTCTGAGTGGTTCATAGCATGCAAAGAATAACATGCAAAGAATAACAATCCAGGAAAGGAAAAAATTACAGAAGAAAACACATCTGAATATCTGTAGTGCCAGGATCAAACCTCACCAGAAATATATTAATACCCTGACAGCTCAAGGGCCATTCTGCCCAACGTCTGAGGGAAGAACCAGGTTTTCAGTGTTTTTCTAAAGGCCAGCAGAGCTGGAACCATCTGGGTCTTGAGGATGGTCCTCCATAGAAGAGGCTTCTTGAAGAAGGAGATCCAACCAGAACTTGAGGAATGATTGTTCTTCATCCTGTAGCCTTCGGAAAGACAGTAGTTTGACGAGCTGCAGAACCATCAACTGGGTATTTATGGGCCAAATCATAATCTGTCCAACTCTAATTCTCAATCTATCACCTCCTCCCACTTTCTACTATTCCTGTCAGCAGTTTAGAGAGAAAGCTACTACCTGGTTTTTGCCTTTCTCCGTCTATCTGTTCAGAGCCTGCTAGATGTAATCAGCATTTCTCTCACTTTTTTTCATACACAGGTATTAAAATAAATGCTTGCAGTCTTTAATTCAAATCTGTTTTGAGTAATTATCACCCCTCTTTAGAATAGTTATTCCCCTTTTTTGTAGGAAAGCGTGGTATATTTCTGCTGTGTGTGCAGTACACCTGAAAAATTCCTTTTATTCCTTGTGGGGGTTCACATAAGTGTGTGAAAAGACAGTGCACAATTACCAGTTTCAAATCAAAAAGCAGGAAACTCTGAACCTTCTTCTGCTCACAAAGCTACCATGTGCCTCTTTGAAGCCTGGAAAAGACAAGGCTAACGTAAAGGTAGATTTAGTGGGGTTGGATGAATAGAGTTCTCCACGTTAAATGATCATGCCCTTTTTTCCACTAGACCTGCTAGGCCAATCAGTCAATTGCTGTCAAGATTGTGGACCTCTCCAGCATAGCCAAATAGCCTAACTCAGTCTTACAATCAAACAAACACTGGGGGGGAAAAGTTCTTGTCCACAGATTTCTTTTTCCAGCTCCTGGATGAGAAGGCCATCTAAAGCTAATGGCTTTAGTCTGATCGCTGTCTCTGTATTAGAAAAAAGCTGTGGCTGGGCTGGCAGAACATGCTAGATAGGACTACAACGAGAACGAGGTCAAGTAGCTAATTTGTGGTGGGAATCAGTCATTGTCTAAGCTTGTGGGAAGCAGGACATTACCTTAAACCATAATCTTTTGTTGTTATACAATCACAAGTGGTTTGTTCACACAGATCTAGGATTAAATGTAATGCCTGAATTTAGCCACTGGGAAGGCTGGCTGAGGAGGGATAAGGAACAACAGGAGTATTTTAAACATTACCATTTAGCAGTGTGATCTTCAACCAGATGTTGTAAGTGTTCAAAACTTAGGCCAAGCATAAGTTCATCTGCATCAAAGAAGGTGTCTTGTTGAGCTACAACTTTCCTCTCACAAACATGGGGAGGATGAGTTCAAAATCTGAAGTGCTATGGTATCTAAGCTATAACCTGATTTGGATTAGCGTGTCATATGAACCCAGCAACTGTGGTTTATTAACTGGGGTTTGGGAATAGGCATGGTGTGTGATCCTGATTGGTCTTTCAATTCTGGTCCTGGACTATTTATTTCTTTACCATAGACCACCCCAATTGCCAGGAAGGAAAAACAAAACAGATTAAGCAGAAATATTTGAATGTGAGATGAATGTCTACAATCAAGTAGTACCTGGACTTATTAAACACATACATGAAGGAGATCCCTTTCTTAGGGTGAATTACATGATCGTCATATCCATCATTATCATTATCCATCAACCAGTACATCAACTAGTCAAGCCCCTCAAAATATTAACCTGCCCACCTCTTGGACAGCCTCTTTTGACAGCCAGTCATAAACCACATAATATACCACAGAGGAGCTGAAGAATGTGTATAGGTAGTCCTTGCTTAGCAATGATAATTGGGACTGGCAACTCTGTTGCTAAGTTATATGGTCATAAAGCACAACGTCACATGACTGGGCCAACTTACAACAGCCATTGCAACAGTCTTAGTTGCCATTGTTAAATGAATCCCGCATGGTTGGAGCATCCTGCAGTCACGTGATCGCCATTTGCAACATCCTGCTGGCTTCCCCATTGACTTTGTTGGAAGTCAGCAGTGAAAGTCGCAAATGACCATGGGATGTTGCAACGTGTACCCAAATCATGATCGTGCAACCGCAGGGATGCTGCAATGGCCACAACTTTGAGGACCTGTCGTAAGTCCCCCTCATTCAGCGCCATTGTTACTTTGAATGGTCGTTGAACGAGTGATCAGTGAGGACTACTGCATTTTTTTGCTGGCAAGAAATTATATTGTCGTAGCAAGTACTGGATTCTGCAAAGGTTCCCTCCTGAGAAAATATCCCAGAAGTATTGGGTTGATCTGCTATAGAGACCCAAAGTTCAATTAGGTGGGACTTTGATCTTCTTTTCTCACTTAGGTTTGCAAAATGTGGTGCTTTTTGACCATGCTCCTGCTTTCGGCTCCCCAAAGGAAGAGAGCAAGAAGATCACAGAGAATCTCAGGGCAGTTTCCGAGTGTTAGTCAATGGGAAAGATTTTGGGAGAGGTGATGGAAAATGCTCCTTTGGCTGACCAAAGGAGGGAAGCTGAAGAATGTCAATGCAGGAAAGGAATGTGTCAAGGAGAAAAAAGGCCAAATCTGTTCTCTGGGAGGCAGAGAAGAATACACTGGGAAAATTGTTATGGCTGAAACAGAAGGGGTTTGCTGCATCAGATACAGTCTTCAAGCTCAGCTTGAGCACCATAAATGCAAGCAGCAGCAGGCAGAAGGGATCCATTGATTTGCAGAGTGCAGGAAGACCTTTGTTCATCAGAAAAACCTTCATGAGCATCAGAGGCTCCACACTGGTGAGAAACTTTACAAATGTGCCGATTGCATTAAAAAAGGTCCTCAGCAAGTCCAAACTTGTTTGGCACCAGAGGCCGCACACTGGGGAAATGCCATATAAATGTACATATTGCTGAAGAACCTTCGGCCAGAGCCATAACCAGACACAACACGAATGCATCCAGATGAGGAGAAACTGGTCCACTCGTATAAGACCCTTCAAAGGTGATTCCTGCCTTACTGAAAATCATGTAAATGAGAAACTGTAGGAATGTTCCTATTTGGAGTTCCTTCAAACTCTGCAGAAATGTAAAAAATAGATATATGCCAACAGACACGTGAGTCCATGGGGAAGTTTCCATCTTGAAGCTATCTCTAGTGGATTTCACCAGCATCTGGTTGCCGAAGGAGCTGTAGCCTCATAGAAGGAAACTCCATTTGTTGGCTAAGCTGTTCAGATCTGGGAAGAATCTGGAAGGATCTGAGAAGAATCTGGAAGAAGTGAGTTAGGGAACAAGCAAGGGAAAGAAGAAATCTGAGATCTTTCTTAGAAAAGTAGGGGGGTTGAACGCTTGCAGCAGAGATGGGAGACAGATGTTGAAACTCCAAATCCCTTCATATTACTGGAATTCCGTATCTCTTCACCCCAAATGGGATGGCAAATGGGCAGGGATGATGGGAGTTGTGATCCAGCAACACCATCTGGAGAGCCTCAAATTCCCCAGCCCTGGTCTAAAGGAGTTAGGGAGGTGGGGTGGCTCAGGCAGAAAATGGGACAAGGAATTTAAAAAGAGCACACAGTAGGTCAAAGATGGGCAGGAGATGGATCAGAGAAGGGAAAGATGGTGTTTGCATGTTAATTTGAACTATCTCAGCTAAAATTTGAATATAGGCCTTAGGCTTCTATTAGAATTTATGTGACTGGAGAATACTAAAAGTACAAGTGTAGCTGAGCTGTTACGATTTGTGTTCTCAACTTTTGTGAACTTCTCAAAATATATTTAATAATTCTCTACTTCTTGTATATTAAAAAAGAGCCAATCAGTGTTGAGATGTTGGAGTAAGGCCAAAAGATCCAGATTCAAATGTATCTTTCCACGTGATCCATGGTATCAGCCATGGATGCTCACTGGACGACTTTGAGACACTTTTGACCTTTCAGCTTAACACTGAATATTGACAGAGAGGAACCTGCAGTCAAGAAATATGCCACAGATCAGCACTTGGTAGAGCCGCCACAAAGCCCTCAGAAAAAATATTCAGATGCCGTGATGGGTCTCTGCCTACAAAGATCAGAATCATGCAAGCCATGGTCTTCCCCGTGATGCTCTATGGAAGCAAAAGTTTGAAGCAGCAGGATAGGAAGAGTATTGATGCTTTTGAACATTGCTGTTGGAGAAGGCTCCAGAGAATATCATGGACAGCCAAGAAAGCAAATCAACCCAGAGTTCTCCCTTGAGGCACAAATGACCAGGCTCAAATCAAGAGAGTCGTACAGGATTGCTGAACTGGGGTCTAATCAACCCAAAGACAACTGGAGCTATTCCTTTCCTCCATGAGCAAGACAAACCTACCAGGGTAAGTCAATGAAAGCCATGCAAGTTGAGCCAGAAAGGCGCAGCTAAAAGCCAGAGCAGTCTCTGACCATCTTCCAATGAGTCAGCACAGAAGGATCACTGGAGGAAAATCAGAATATTCAGAACTTTTCCTTCCTCCCAGCAACTTGCAAAGATGATAATTTCCTGTGGCCAGGAAGAGCCAGGGTGGACTAGTGGGGAAGCACTGGACTAGGAGTGGGGAGACCCAAGTTCTGGTCCCCTCTTAGCCACAGAAACTCCATGGGCCAGTCCTTCCTTCTCAGCCCCAGAGCTAGTGTGGGGTAATGGGGAATGGGCTGGACTAGGATGGGGGTGATCCAGGTCCAGGTTCCTCCTCAGGCAAAGCTCCTTGGGACTCTGGACCAGTCCCTCTCTCAGCTTTGGGCCAGGGTGGGCTAGTGGGGAAGGCGAGTGGGAAAGACTAGGAGTGAGGAGATCAACTCTCATAAACGTGAACCTGGATGTCCCCATTCCTAGTCTAAGATATTAATCGGCAGCATCCCCAGGGGACTGTCAACAAAATCAAGATGGCGGTGGTGACCACAAGATCAAAGCCCAGCCCAATTTTACGTGTGTGTGATGTCAACCCACATTCGAAGGCTGCCATCTTTATTTTTTGACAGCCCCCCACCCCAATGACCCACTACACCACAGTGACATAAATTTCAATTGTGATGTTTAAATAGTTATATTAAATTGCTTGTTTTTGATGGTAGGCCTCAGTACTAATTTATTTTAATCCTATTGTAAACTGCTAGTTGTTCTTTTGAGCTGGGTGCTATCAAAACACCTGTAAGAAATAAATAAAACAATTCTGGCTAAGTGGCTTGTGTAAATGGAGCTTTACTTCCATGTTTTTTTGTTATAATCTACAAAATCCCATTACTGTGGCATTTTCATAGAGGGAGACAGAGTTCTAACTCTTTGATCTTTTTCCTTACGGAGTACATGAGAAAACCACTTGGGAAAATGTATAACACAAAGATGCAAGATATTCTGAGTGCGACTGCTTCAGACAAAATGTAGAAAAAAATGGTATTATTGGCAATTTTATTTGAATTTCCTTTCCGAAAGAACTCCATCTCAGATGGCCTTTTTTTTTTTTAACAGCAATTTCACACTGGGTTGGCATTTCCATCAAATGACCCACAGCCCCCCCAATCCCCTTTTTGCCAACAATCCCTCTCCCTGGAAAAGCAAAATTAAAAAAACACACACACACCAAAACATACAATGGATGCCAACCGTATCTCCCTCTGGATCTCAGAACCCTTTTTTGCTCATTATTGGCAGAAGGAAAAGGAAGGTGACAGGCCATCTCTTCCTGCTCCACCTCCCAGCAAACGTCGTGCCCCCTTCTCTCCAAAATCACATGCTATGCCTACCAAAAATCTTTGCAGCCCAAGGCACAGTTGCAGTCTTCCCACTGGAAAACCAAGATGGTCCAGAATTCTTGGGAATTCTGTGCTAGGTGTTCCTCCGGTGCTTGCCTGGACTCATAGCCCCACCACAGCCCCATTTCTCTGCCGCCTGCTTTAGTTGCAATTGAAGCGAGTTTTCCGGTGCCGAATGAGTTGCAGGCTCTGGTTGAAGCTCTTCCCGCAATCTGAGCATTTGTACGGCTTCTCTCCCGTGTGGATCCTCTGATGCCGGATGAGATTCGTGGCCTGGTTGAAGCGTTCCCCGCAGTATGAGCAGCCGTACGGCTTCTCGCCTGTGTGAGTCCTCCAGTGACGCTTCAAGTTCGAGTTGTAGCTGAAACTCTTCCCACAGACGTTGCAAATCTTCCGGCTTTTCACCTTCCGGGTCCTCAGGGGCTCTGGGGGATGAGTGAACCCAGGTCCCTGAGCAGCAGACCTGTCCTGCCGGCTCTCGGCGGGTTTGGCCTCTGAGCGATTCCGTCGGTCCTGATTTGCAAACTCAGTCATGAATTCCTGATGGGTGGTTCTTCCCCAGGGCTTCCTGCTCCAAGCATCCACAGCTGCTGAAGAAAAAAATTGTGTTCACACAAGACAACAGCTTCCCAACTGAGCTGTGAACCAGAAGGCTCAAGCTGGGGTGGGCAACTCTTTAGCCCCAGCAGCCAAATTATATATTTTAGGAGAAGGCAAGGGGTGCTGTGAGTGAGGCTGTGTCTTACAGGTGGCCAAAGGCTGAATTTGGAGTTTGTGTGGATGGGTGTTCTTTCTGTTTTTAAATGATGTTATGCCTTTCCAAGGATTTACTCAGTTTTGTGGTCTTCCCTGCCTCAGAAGGGGTGTCTGTGAGAGAAGGGGATGGTGCAGGGAGACATCCCTCTGTAACTGTGGTTGTAAGGGCCAATCTCAACTGAGTCATAGAATGGGCAGGATGAATGTCAGCCTCACTAGGTAGACCAGACCAGGAAATCCACTCCACAGGAGGCTAAAACTACCTTTATTGAGATTGGCAATCAAACCTCCTCCCCCTTCTTATACCCTGGTGCATTAGGGAGGGGTCTGCCTAGCCACTTCTGAATGTTATTTCATTGTTCTGGACTTTAAAAAATGCTTCAGCCCCTTTTGCCAGTTCCTGTATATCTCTGTCAAGGTCATCTTCCTGATTCTCTACAAGGAAAGGGAACTTCGAAATCATCTAGTTCTGCCCTCCCTCCCTCTCTCCCTCCCTCCCTCTCTCTCTCAAGTGTTAGTCCAGTCTTTCTTACAGGGTTTGAGAATGGAATGGAACAGAATGGAACAGGATGTTACAGAACACAAAGGAATGGAACGGAACAGAAGAGAACAACAGAATGGAACAGAACAGAACAGAACAGAACAGATCAATAGAATGGAATGGAATGGAATGGAATGGAACAGACTAACAGAACAGAACGGAACAGAACAATAGAATGGAACAGAATAGAATGGAATGGAATGGAACGGAACGGAATAATAGAATGGAATGGAACGGAGCAGAACAGAACAGAACAGAACAGAACAGAACAGAACAGAACAGAACAGAACAGAACAGATCAATAGAATGGAATGGAATGGAATGGAACAGACTAACAGAACAGAACGGAACAGAACAATAGAATGGAACAGAATAGAATGGAATGGAATGGAACGGAACGGAATAATAGAATGGAATGGAACGGAGCAGAACAGAACAGAACAGAACAGATCAATAGAATGGAATGGAATGGAATGGAACAGACTAACAGAACAGAACGGAACAGAACAATAGAATGGAACAGAATAGAATGGAATGGAATGGAACGGAACGGAATAATAGAATGGAATGGAACGGAACAGAACAGAACAGAACAGAACAGAACAGAGCAATGGAATGGAATGGAATGGAATGGAATGGAATGGAATGGAATGGATTACAATGAAACACAATGGAATGGAACGGAATGGAACA